CGCTGCGCCACCAGGGGATGCCCTGTTATATCATCTTGATAGGCCAAACCTTTTATCAAATATAATGTCCTTCTTTGTTCTTGTAATCTTTCTTAATTAAAATATACTTTGATGATAATTTAGCCACTGCCAGCTCTCTAGATTACTCTTTGTATAAAATATCTTTTCTATCATTTTACTTTAAACCCTGTGCCTTTGTATTTAAAGTGAGCCTGTTATAAACAACATGGAGACAAATTATGCCTTTTTTTAAAAAAAAAAGATTTATTTATTTATTTATACAAGCACTGGGTACAGTCAGAAGCGCGGGAGGGTGAAAGAATTCACCAGAACCAGAGCTGGGAACAGAGCAGGCAGACTGACGAAATACACTGGTGAGGGGAGCAGCGGGCGCAGCAGGAGAGGCCTGTTGTGCCATGTGGGACCCTCCCTGGCAGCCAGAGATCGAATCGGTGCTGCAGCGGCTGCGGGCAGCTTCGCAGCCCAGTGCTCAACTGCTGCGCCACCAGGGGAGGCCCAACAAATTATGCTTTTTAATCCATTCTGTTAGTCTGCTTTCTAGATATTTGATTCATTTAATTTACTTTTTTATAAATTTAAACTCATTTACATTTAAAGTAATTACTGATAAGAAATAGTTTGCTTCTGACATTTAGCTATTTTCTGTGGTTTTTTTTTTTTTTTTCATTTTCTCCATGACTGCCTTTTAAAAATACTTACTAGATTTTTGATATATCTTTTTGATTCCCTTCTTTCTTTTCATTTTTGCTTTTAGTTACTTTCCTAGTAGTTACCTTGAGGTTTACAGTAACATCTTAAACTTATAACAACGTAGCTTGGCTAATTCAGACTCAGTTTCAATAATACATGGGGGCCTCCCCGGTGGCGCAGCGGTTGAGCGTTGGGTTGCGAAGCTGCCTGCGGCCTCTGCGGCGCGGGTTCGATCCCCGGCTGCTCCCCGGCCACCAGAGGAGGGTCCCACATGGCGCGCAGACCTCTCCTGCCGCCCGCTGCTCCCCTCAGCAGTGTACTTTGGTCCTTCTGCCTGCTCTGCTCCCCGCTCTGGCTCTGGTGAATTCTCTCACCCTCCCGCGCTTCTGACTGTACCCAGTGCATGTATAAACAAAAACAAACAAATAAAAAAATAAAAAAAAATGCCTCTATTAATAATACATGAATACTTTGCTGTTAAACATCTTTATCCCTCCCCCTTCATATTCTTATTGTCACAGATAATATAGATTATAATTATTGTTGTATGCATTTGCCTTTTAAAATCATGTAGGAAAAAAAGAGGCATTGTAAACCAAAAGTGTTAATGTAATTATTGACTTTTTATAATTACCTGAGGAGTCGGGGGTGGGGGGCATATCTGGTTTGTGTATACTGCTCTCTTAGCAAGTTCAGCAAACTTTGCCTTATTTGCTAAAGTGTCTGATCAGATCCTAGAGTTTTGAAATAACTGATTTTTGACCATTCATCTGTTAAAGATGGGTTTCTCAATTAATTTGAAAAAAGGATATGACCAATAATTATAGGGGGGAATGACCAGTAAACATGAATGACCAGTAAACATCAGTGTCATTCATAATTAAAGAAATGTTGATCAAAACAATAGTGACTCCCGGATTATTCACTTAGGAGGTTTGCACACTTCTTTTCCCTATTTGATGATGTCCAGTGTTGATAGGTTGTGGGAGTGTAATTTGGTACAACCTTTCTGAAAAGTAGTCTGTTAATAAATATCACAATGTTAAATGCACAGCCCTTTAATCCAACAATTCCACTGATGGAGATTACCCTATAGATAACTTCAAAGATAGGTCAAGGCAGATATGCACAGATGTCCATTGTGTTCATAATTTTAAAACCTGAACTGTTGAAATTCTGCATAAGAAGAGAACTCCAATTATGGTCAGTCCATATAGCAGGAGGTACATAACCTTTAAACAGAATGAATTAGCTCTTTTTATACTAAAGTGAAATCTTGGGGGCCTCCCGGGTGGCACAGGGGTTAAAGTCTCAGAGCTATCAAACAGAGTTCAGCCACTATAACATGAGTTTGATCCCCAGCCAGGGAGCTGGCCCACATGGCACAGCAGACGTCTCCTGTCTTGCCACTGCTCCCCTCAGCAGTGTATTTCAGTAGATCTACCTATTCTGCTCCCCACTCTGTCTCTGGTGAATTCTCTCACCTCCTCCCCACCCCCACATCTCTGGCCTACACCCCAGTTCTTGTATGTCTAAATAAATAAAAATAAATCTTTAAAAAAAATAGTGACATCTTAGTCCACTCAAGATAGTATCACAAAGTACCATACACTGGGTGGTTGATAAACAACAAATTTATTTCTTAGATTTCTAGAAACTGGAAAGTCCAAGGTCAGGGGACTGGCAGATTCAGTGCCTGATGAGGGTCTGCTTCATGGTTCATAGGCAACCATGTTTTTGCTGTGTCCTCACATGACCAAAGGAGAAGGGAATTCTCTGGCCTCTCTTTTATATAGACCTTTAATTGCCCTTGTGCTCTCATGACCGAATCATCTCCTAAAGACCCTCATCTCCAAATAACCATCAATTTGGGGGAATATTCAACATAAGAATTTCGGGGACATAATCAATGTGGAGCTTGTGGGAAGTTCTGCATAATACATTAGTGACAACAGTTTAAGTGCAGAATAAAATGTAGGTAATAAACCCATGGGGGTAGGGATTTTTATTTTATATATGCACAGAAAACTTTCTGGAAATATATACAGTAGTTTGTTAAGGGTGTGTTCCTTCGGGGCGGAGGATAGGAATAAATATTTTTAACAACTTTCTGTACATTTTTTTTCATATATTATTTCCTCCACCCCTTTTAAAAAATGGCTAAAAGCAAAATTTAACAGTAATGAGCTCCAGCAGAGAATCGTTTTACCCAGATGTAGTTCTCAGAATTTTCATGCCTCAAGTTAGTACATTTATATAGTTCACTTTTCCTTTTGAAATTGCAAATACATACATAGCTTGCTTCCTGGTCTATTTCTGTTTTAAATTTTTTTTAAAGATTTATTTACTTATGCATACAAGAGCTGGGGTACAGGCCAGAGATGCGGGGAGTGAGAGGATTCACCAGAGACAGAGCGGGGAACAGAACAGGCAGATTGACCGAAATACACTGCTGAGGGGAGCAGCGGGGAGACAGGAGAGGTCTGCTGTGCCATGTGGGTTGCTCCCTGGCCGGCCGGGGATCAAACTCATGTTGCAGAGACTGCGGATTGCTTCATAGTGCGGTGCTTCACCCGTTGCACCACCAGGGAGGCCCTATTTTTGTTTTAAATTTTTATGAAATGTGTTAAGAGGTATCAAAAGGGCCTCCCTAGTAGTGCAGCGGTTGAGCACTGGGTTGCGAAGCTGCCTGCAGCCTCTGCAGTGCCAGTTCGATCCCCGGCTGCTCCCCGGCCACTGGAGGAGGGTCCCACATGGCACGCAGACCTCTCCTGCCGCCCGCTGCTCCCCTCAGCAGTGTACTTCGGTCCTTCTGCCTGCTCTGCTCCCGGCTCTGGCTCTGGTGAATTCTCTCACCCTCCTGCTCTTCTGACTGTACCCAGTGCATGTATAAATAAACAAACAAATAAATAAATCTTTAAAAAAAAAAAAAAGAGGTATCAACAAGTTAATACATCGTTCTAAAAACATTGTCATAAACCTCTTAAAATTATTAATGACTAATCTGGTATTTTTTCATCTTAGAAGAAGCCAAGTGGTGTGATAAGAAAAATGGCACAGGTTTTGGAGCCATAGAGACATAGATTCAAACCCCAACTTAATAAAAACTAACTTTTCATGCTGGGAAAGTTACTTCAAATAGTTAACTTGAGAATACCTAACCCTGCTTTTGCAGAGCCCTGAAGATAAGTGAAGAAAGGTGTGTAGTTCCCGCGTCCAGTTGCTACTCAAGAAACGTTGGCTTCTCCTCTTGGTGTTCCTCCCAGTCTCTTAGACATGACTTTCAATTGTTGTTCATTCTGTCTGTTTCTCTTGTCTCATGCTTGGAAAACTGGTGCTTAGCAGTGTTTGAATGTAGTATCAGAACCAGGTGACAAGAAACAGGATAGATCTGTGGGCTCTCTAGTTTGTTTTTATTTACCGGGGAATACTGGGACATGAGCAGGATCTCTAGTTCATGTCCCTGGCTGCTGGTGTGGGCAGCTTTGTCTAATACTTGACTTGCCCCACAAAATACAGTAATAGCACAGGCTCTTATTCTTTTTCAGACTTATCTTCAGATTGAGTTCAGTAAAAAGGGCAAAATTTACTGTATCCCTTTTGGTCTACAACTTTTTAAACAGTCTGGGGACTACTGCAAGGAATCCCTCACCTTACCATTTGGTTCAGCTTCACATGACCCGACGTTCCCGAAGGCTGAGGTTCTGAGAGCAGCTTGAGAGACCCACGCTGTTCATGGGCCCGAGGGGTGCTGAAGGACCAGAGGCTCCGAGTTTTGGCCCCACCACTTCAGCCCCGTTATACCTAACTCTCGCCGGATTCTACCCTGCCTGTTTCCTTCAGTTCCTTGAAGTTGTCAAGTTAATTCCTGCTTCCTGCTTTTACTTCTTTCAGAATTCCATCCTCACTTCCTCACCCCAGCTTGGCAAATGTGAATCCAAGGCAGAATTTAATTCTCGTTTTAAGTGTCATATTTGTTTTGAGTAAGAATATTTACTCTGTTTTACCTAGGGGATTTGCATAGTTTAAAAATCTAATCTCTCTGGATTCTGTTCTCTTACTCAGACACAGGCAGAATTGAGAGTTCATACCATGAAGAGGGGTGTGGGGTCCTACTTGGGCATACTCTTCCTTGTGCGCCTTGCTCTGGGAAATGACCCTTCTCCCCACCAGGGCCCCCAGGCAAGGCAACCTAATGTGTGTAATGTTGGGTCTTTTCTTCGTTTTCTTAGTGATCAATTTGTTTCTCTTTAGGCTAGAATTTGTAATAATTTTTCTTTCTCTTGTAGCACTGAATAAGATTTGTGATGAAATGGAGCCTGGAACAAACTCTTTTCGAGTAGAATTTCCTGATTTTTCCAGCACCATTCTGCAAAAACTGAACCAGCAGCGCCAGCAAGGACAATTATGTGATGTTTCCATTGTTGTCCAGGGCCACATTTTCCGGGCACACAAAGCTGTTCTTGCTGCCAGCTCACCCTACTTTTGTGACCAGGTACTCCTGAAGAACAGCAGGAGGATTGTTTTGCCTGATGTGATGAACCCAAGAGTGTTTGAGAACATTCTCCTCTCTAGTTACACAGGACGTCTGGTAATGCCTGCTCCAGAAATTGTTAGTTACTTAACAGCAGCAAGCTTCCTCCAGATGTGGCACGTGGTAGACAAATGCACTGAGGTTTTGGAGGGAAACCCTACAGTCCTTTGTCAGAAGCTAAATCATGGCAGTGACCACCAGTCTCCAAGCAGCAGTAGTTACAATGGCCTGGTAGAAAGCTTTGAGCTGGGCTCTGGAGGCCATGCTGACTTCCCCAAAGCCCAGGAACTGAGGGACGGAGAGAATGAAGAGGAGAGCACCAAAGATGAGCTGTCCTCTCAGCTCACTGAGCACGAATACCTTCCCAGCAACTCCTCCACGGAGCACGACCGGCTGAGCACTGAAATGGCGAGCCAGGACGGGGAGGAAGGGGCCAGCGACAGCGCTGAGTTCCACTACACCCGGCCCATGTACAGCAAGCCCAGCATAATGGCGCACAAGCGCTGGGTCCATGTGAAGCCCGAGCGCTTTGAACAGGCGTGCGAGGGCATGGACGTCCACGCACCCTACGACGAGCACCAGGTCACCGAGTCTGTCAACACCATGCAGACAGAGCACACGGTGCAGCCCTCGGGAGTGGAAGAAGACTTCCACATTGGGGAAAAAAAAGTGGAAGCAGAGTTTGATGAACAGGCTGACGAAAGCAATTATGATGAGCAGGTAGATTTCTATGGCTCTTCCATGGAGGAGTTTTCTGGAGAGAGGTCAGATGGGAATTTAATTGGGCACAGACAGGAAGCGGCCCTAGCAGCTGGCTATAGTGAGAATATTGAAATGGTAACAGGGATTAAAGAAGAAACTTCCCACTTAGGATTCTCGGCCACCGACAAGCTGTATCCTTGTCAGTGTGGGAAAAGTTTCACTCACAAGAGTCAGAGAGATCGACACATGAGCATGCACCTCGGTCTTCGGCCTTACGGCTGTGGTGTCTGTGGTAAGAAATTCAAAATGAAGCATCATCTCGTGGGCCACATGAAAATTCACACGGGCATAAAGCCCTATGAGTGTAATATCTGCGCAAAGAGATTTATGTGGAGGGACAGTTTCCACAGGCATGTGACTTCTTGTACCAAGTCCTACGAAGCTGCAAAGGCTGAGCAGAATACGACTGAGGCTAACTAAAAATAGGATCTGGCCCTTGAGTGGCAGGCACAAAAATAAACTATGGTAATTATGCAAATCTGGGCACAGATGATGCGTGCTACTTGCTATTATAAGAGAAGCTTTAAAAAAAGGAAGATATTTCTGAAAGACCAGCTCTAAGTAGGCCAATTAAAAAAATCTAATTCCTCAAATTGATATGTTCCAGTCCAGGCCTGGAGTGTGTAATGGGGCTAAGTTAACCTACCTCCCAGCTGGTGAGGTAAACCGCAGGGCCCAGGGTGATGGAGGCAGGTGGACTTGGTCTAGAGATGCCTGCACTTGGGAATGAACTCCAGGCTACCAGTCCTACTTCGGTGGCAGCAGTTTTCCATCACTGGTTATTACAAGGTCATGTTGAAATTTTACTTCGCCCTTACTACAGATACTTAGGTGGTGTGGATTTATTTTGGTAGCTGCTTCACTGAATGAAATGCTACTTACTTAAAAGCTGCAAATAATGTGATCCCTCTGATGCGAAATTAACAGAGCTCTCTTCCCTGGTTTTATTCTTTCTAAAGGGTATTTCAGCTCAAACTATGGAGAGACTGAGGGTGACGTCCTAAGTATGAAGCAAATACTTCGGTACAAGCTTCAGTTCTGTAAGATGCCACTGTCACAATGTGTTTCAGACTCTTGAGAAGACAAAGTTTTGTATTTTAGTACTAACATTTAGTTTGAACAATTATCTAATTGTAATTCTCTAGGGTGCCAGAGATAGGTATTTCTAACTCGCCCGCTGTCCCCAATCCTGTTCACTTGTAGCATGCGCAGTGAGGTTTGCTCGGGGCTAGGCGTGTCTGGCCCGCTGTGACCGACACGGTCCCGTTGGCTGCCCTGGCCATCGCTCTGCGCCAGGGAGTGGTGTTTCCCATAGAAGGCGGTGTTTCCCAGCTAGTGGGAAGGAGCCAGAAGGCCGGCCGAGGGATACCTGTGCACTTGAGCTAACAGAGGGCCACCGTGACTCTCTGCCAGAGAATACTGAGCGCCAGGTTATACTTGAGGAAAAAACTGCCTCCAAAAAGAGGAGTCTTGACAATACACTGGTGGGGGAGATACTTTTTAAGAGGATGACACTGAACTCACACTGCTAGTTCCCTGGGCGCGCCCGAATGGGTTTTAAAAAGGGGAAAGGAGGAGCCCTCATTTTAGAAGGTAGTCTGCAGGTTCCTGCTCCCCAGTTACAGCTAATGCTGCGTAAGTTTACAAGTCCCCAGAGCGTTACCAACCAGAAAACAAGCAAAGCAGCTATTCCGAGACCTTTTCTGCTGATCAGTCAGATGTTGTAGGTTTAAAAAAAAAAAAAAAAGTGTATATTCAGGACACTTTGAAGCTGTGTAACGTACCTGAAATTATCCCCAGGGTAGGACAGGGTGCTACTATTATGTCAACTTTTTCGTAAACTTACTGGTCTGTTACTTATGAAGTAGTAACTTTTTTCCTTAAAATAAAAGTAACTTTTCTTGGATTTGGGGTGAAATTTTGTTTTAAAAGTTTAGCTTTGCTCTCATGTGATGGGCATTGTTGGCCCGGGCCTGCGATCCTCCAGTTCCTGCCCGACAAGGTGTACTTGCTGAGCCGACAAACTGTCTGGAAGGAGGAAGCAAGTACTTATTTACCAGTTAACTCTTGTAATCAAGGTTACAAAACAGGGATCTGTTCATTAACACTGTATCATTCTTGATATATAAAAAGCACTTTGTATTTAAAACTTTATTATAAATATAAATATATATATATTGATTTTTTTAACCTAGAAACTAGATATTACCTCTTGGTTGTTTGCCACATTAATATCCTCTTAGTGCTGAAACCTCACCCATTAACAGTCCTTCCTCTGTGTACCTGACAGACGTGTTTAGGTGACTGTCCACTCAAGCTCATTGCTCCTCTTGTCTTCTCATGTCAGAGCCAGTGGGCTTTAGGTCTGATCCTAGCCATTGTGTGTGAGGAGAAATTATTTTATTGCTCCTGTTAATTTCAGTACTGAGGCAGTGAAGCCATTTTGTTCTGCCAGAAGCTGACCACCTTTTCCGTGGTACTAGTAAACCATTTCCTGCACGTGTGGAAAGCTCGGTTAACTGTTTTCCATTAAAGCTTCTGTTCAAATGAGCGTTGGTACATTTGGGGAGAAGAGTCTGGGTGGTGAAATAAAAGTATTCTGGAAAATCATGGTCCTTCAGTTATGCAGAAGTCAGCACAGCCCCCTTGTCATGAGTAACGGTGACAGCTCTTGCTCAGCCGGGAGTGGTGGGAGGCCCTCGGGTGGGCTTTGGGAGCAGTCACTTGTGCTGGGACTGCATGTGTAGTGAAGAGAGGTACCTTCTCTGGGAGTCCTTAGATGTATACCAGCTACTAAGTGTAGAATTTAAAGTATAAGTTTCTCACATCTGCTGTTTTATGTTGTGCTTTTTTTTTTTTTTTTTTTTTTAATTGGGAGTTTCCATAAAAATTAGGTTTGCTAATCTGGTCCACCATATCCTGTGAGGTAGTTGGGCATCTGAAGTGCTGGTCATGTTCAGAGAGGCAGGGGATGGGGATTGCCTTAGTTTCGATATTAAAAGTAAATTTTTATAAACTCTGCATTTTAGGATTAGGAAATCATAAGGTGTTACTGTCTTTTCCTTCCTGCCCCTGGTTACGTAAATAGTTTCTCTCCTTCGCCTCAGTGCAGCTTTAGAAAATCTTTATCCTTCCAAATGAGTTTGGATCGTTGTGGACATTTTCCAAATAGTCTTTCAGGGATGGCGTCAGTGGCCTATGACCAAGACATTTGTCCTCTGCTTTGGGTCTTCATTGTGGTTTTTCTCCAATCCCGGTGGGAAGGGCTTTGAGGCATCCCCAGTGCTATTTAATATCAGTCCTCACACCATGCCTTTAATTTTAGCTCAACCCATTGTAGTCCACCGGTAAGGTAAGTGTCCCCACCTATGGCAGGCTGGAGTTCGAGAACCCTTCCTCCAGCATCTAGGCTCACCCTCAGGGGTCCCAGCCCCCCGCCTGTGGATTCTGACTCCACATCTCACCAGCCCCCAGGCCACCTTCCTTGACCGCTGCTCTCTGAGTCTGCGGGAAAGGGCATCCTCCATTCTGGCGGGCATTTACTGAACTAAACTGACGGGAGTCTGACCAGCTGTTTGGGAAAGCTGCTTATTAGCCTCACTGGCTCCTTCCTGCCGAGGCCCAGGCCTCCCCAACCTGCCCCTGAAGTGTAGGGGGGCGGGGAGCCACAGAGCTGTGCTTTCCCTGGGGGAGGGGATTCAACTGCAGCCCTAGGGGATGGTGGAGAGGACTCCACACCAAATCCAGGTATTTACTATATAAGGTCTGATCATTTAAGAATGCTGGAAACCATGCAACGTATTTCCCCCACCCCCCCATCTGTGCCACACTAATTTTGTGATTTAGATTGCTTTCATGGGTGACTGTTCAATGAAACCAGGGTTGGTTTGTTTGGGTTTTTCTTTTGCTACTTAGATATTTAAAGGTACATGTTTCTTAGTTCAAATCTCTACTGATAGTGCCCTATGGGAAGATGCTGGAACACATTTTGTAAATGTGACTTTTTTTTTTTTTTTTAGTTTTGCTTGAAGCCTGTGTCATAATGTCAGTTGCTGCTGCCTTTTTTCCTTTTATGAGGTTCCCAATGTTTCTTCCAGAAAATTTATTTATGCAAGTCAGGTGACTCTTAGACCACAAGACCATTTGATGATAAACAAATTATCATTAGGTGCATATCTTATTGATATTTTGTGAAATGTTATGCCTGTGTTGCAAAAGTTGAATAGTTTTGTCTTTATATATTGCTGTCTTCAGTGTACAGCATGGTTTTACTTAACTGAATGTTACTGTTGAATATTTTCTTCTTATAGAAGAGACCATGCCCTTTTGTATGACATGTTTTAATAAATGTTATCTGTTGACTTTGTAAAAGTTTTGTTTTTCACTCTGGGTATATGACCACGTATTTTTGTTTTTATTCTGGCTTCTGCCACCTGAGAGTAAAAATTATATTGGGGCTAGTGTCAAGTAGTCTCATCGGATGAGTAGTGAATGGCCACGGCATGACTCATCAGAAGTTCTGGGGATTATCTGATTGTAAACCCCCAATGGGGGGGGGGGGTTAGCTCATTATAAATCCAGTATTTAGCTGTGTTGGGTATTCTCTGCTTGCTCCTCCAGATCCCCTCCCCGGCTGGTGTTTCTCCGTGGCCCTGTCCTTGTGCTTCTGGTTACCATCTGCCAGAGAGAGTCACACGGAGAGGAGCTTGGTAGATGAGAGTGGGGGGCTTCATCCCCCTGGCTCCTTCCTGTCAGGGGCCTAGGCTCCTTCAGGCAACCTCAGGCTGTGGTAACCAAGCCCTCCCCCGGCCTTTCTGTCTGAGGACTGCTCCTGACTCCCTGTTTGGCCAGGCCCAGCCCCTGGACTCTGCTGTCCTTGTGGCCCCTAATCCCACCTGCTGACATCCTTTGTGGATGTTCCTTTGTGAAACTCCTCAGTGCCCCAGCTGAGTAGTCTGTCCTTCCCGCCAGCACCCTGGCTAATGCCTCAGGTAGACTCATTCACGCGTGGGCCCCGCTGTGATTGAGAGCAGGTGGTAGATGAGTGAGTGGAAGTGGGGCAGCAGCTGCAGGGGGGAGCTGGCGTTCAAGTGGCCGTAAGGCCAGTGTGGTGATGCTTCCATGCTCTTCAATTGGAGCTCTGCCTCACCTCACTTCGCCCTCTCCCACTCACCCCTCTAGGCCCCCCCAGAACAAACCCTCAAGCAGCCACAGCGCTCTTTAAAAGTGCTGCAGGCACTGAGGGCCCCACGTATTTCCTAACAACAGCTCATTACCGAGACACTGCTTGTTTTAGACCAAACTTAACCATCTTCCCACACAAACCTTCTGTTACCACTGTTTGTTGTGAGGTTTTTCTTCCTCTCCCCGTTGCTGATTTTGAAGCCAACTGCACATTGCCTCAGCTAGCTTCACCATTCTGTGTGGGGAAGATGTCCAGAAGGACTGTTTTCTAGCCTTTTTATGAAGTGGGGCCTGTCCATCCTGACCAAGGGCAAACAGCTCAAACCCTGCTGCAGTGGTGACCCCTGTGACCCTTGTTTTCACCCCTCCTGGGTACCCCTGGTTGCTAGCAAGCCAGCCCACCTAGGAAGCAGGTTTTTCCACAAGGCTCCCGCAGGGGAGGAGCCCTCGAGGGTGAAGATGAGAAGCACTGTGTTCCTTATCAGAAGAAAGGAGAAGATGAAGTGGCTCATTTGTGTTTGGGAACAGAAGGGGGGTGGGATGTGAGGGGTGTTACCCAGATGGAGCATGTAACACCTGTGCAGTTTATTTAGATTTCCTGAGTCAGTTCACCGCTTCCCACCAAACCAGCGGCGCGTTCCTGGAGACGGACTCCATGCCCAAGCGTTTCGGAGGGTGCCCAGCTCTCGAGTTTGCCATAGTCAATGGACCAGTTAGCAGACCCGCAGCAGGACGTGAGGTAAGCCGGAACTTGGTAGAACAGCCATTTATTATTTGGGAAATGATTTTAAAGATGCTTTCAATGCAGAAGGGTAAAGATAAGAACTCTGCCTTTCCGTCCCTATCATGTACTTTTTTTTTTTTTTTTTTTTTGCGGAAACTTGGTGTTTGTGTTCAGAGTTCGGAGAATAAAGATGGACACAAATGGTATTTTCCTCACTTACTGAGAAACCGGAAGGAGGTGGAGGGGTGCAGGGGTCTCCCAGACTTTTCTGGGCTGGTTTGACTAGATTGAATCAAAACCAGATGATTTGATTGCCTAATATTGTACCACTTTTAATTTCTTCCAAATGGATAATTGTGCCTTATGAGTGGATGGATGCAACTGCAGGAAAGTCACAGCTGTCCTTTTGAGGGAGTATGTGGGCTCTATAAAAACAAGGTAATTCCTCAGCAGTGTTGTAGGTAAATACATGCTATAAAAAATAGCGGCTTTCTCCTTCAACCCTGGTGATTATGCGTGCTATTTTTTTCTTCCTTCTATTCCAAAATAAGAAGCCAGTACTAATGCCATTAAATGTATTTATAACTTAATAAGATACTAGTTACTCCCCAGAGAACATTGGTCTGCCTAATGGAACAGCTAACCTTTATTAATGGAAGCAAAAGGCTGCCTCTAGAACCGCCTCTGGCGTGTTAATTTGGGGTCAGTGATGCTGTGATAAAATCTCACTTGTTAGGTTTTTCCGGAAAGATCCTCAGTCGCACAGCTCTGCACTCACGATGGATGGATGCCAAGTTGCTAAACTGCTGGCATTCTTGCAGGATCTGGCTTAGTAGAAGTTGTAGGTTTTAAAATGATAGCAGTGACCTTGAACCGAGCTAGGAAGGTTTAATTTTTACCTCATTTATAAGGCAAGTCGTGTGTAAACTGTCTGCCTATTCACAAGATGAAGATACAAGAGAATTTTTCTTGAGTTTTTTTGTTTTTAACTGCAGTCTATATAATTACTGGCTTCTGAACACCCACCTGACCCATTGCACACCGTGGCTACTTTAATAAATATAAGGAAAATTGGTATTACAGACTAAAGATAATAGCTTAATGAAGTTTCATTGCATGCTTAACATGCTGAGTACCTCACTTGCATTAATTCATTTATGTCTGTCCCAGGAGGTAGAATTTTCTTCCAGGCAACTTCCTGTAGCAGGAAAGGATGTTACGGAAACTCTCAAAACTCTTACTGCTTAGCCAGCAGGGCTGTCAGTGGCTGAGGGTGAGATTCATACCATCGCCCCTCCCCACCTATAGGGTGCTGAGTGCGGCTTGTGATGCCATGGAGCTCACACAGAGCCAGGCCAGATTGTCCTGGTGGGTGACTCACTAGATACCCCTTGAGTTCTTGTACTCTGTTCTCTTTGGAGAAATGGACTGTTCCAGGCCTGGCATCAGCAGCTAACCCTACTTGAATTCAGGAAAACCCTCCTTGGATTCAGGAAATGCATGTAGAAAAATAGCCCCAGGATGGAGAGTCCCATGATTTTCAAACTGGTAGGAAAGTTCTGTCAAGGCCTGCTGCGAAGACTGGGCAGAGAAGAGGGGCAAGGCCCCATCCTTACCTCCATCCCCTTCCAACCAGAGCAGCTCTGGTGGCACGTGGCACTCTTCTCGTGCCACCTTTACCCAGAGCCTGCTGTGTTCCACTCACTCCTGTGAGCACTGTCTGTGGACGAACTCCACCCTCAACGCCAGCTCTCCAAGGGAGGTGCTAGTGCATTCCTGCTGGCGGAAGGACATTGATGGCAGAGCCAGGAGTCAAGCCCAGGCAGCCCAAGACCTGGGTCCCACTGAGCTACTGCGCCCTGTGCTGTTGAGTGACCGCCTGTCTAAGGGTTACAAACATCGGGTGTCCTGGGAGTTAAATTTTGACTGTAAATCATCTAGAGAGGGGCTCCAAAGGCCAAGGGCATATCTGGGCCCCCTGGCCTGGTGCTTATCTCCAGGATATTGTGGGTCTCAACATCAGTAGCACCTGCTTATCTCTGATTTGGGGGCCCCAAGCTGACCCACCCTGTTCCATCAGCCTCTGGGACAGCCACTCCTTCCTAACTGCCCTCAATCCCACCTTACCACGTGACTGCTGCTTAGCTTCACATCCAAGGTCCACATTAGCCTGCTTATCTGCTGATTCACACGTGAGCCCTGGCTGCTCTCCTTAGGCTTCTTTTTGTCCTTGTGTGGGTGATTTTCTCCACCTTGAATGCTCATCCTTGTCTTTTCCATCCAGGCTTCCCTAATCCTGGCCCTTCTGGAAAACTTTATTTTTCAGGCCCTACAAAAATAATTTCTGACACCTTCCATGAGGACCCTCAGAAACACTCAGTGACTACATTTCATTTTGAACTTAGCTCTGCTGTAGCATTTGTCACTGTATTATGACTGTATATGCCATCCAGTCTTCACACACACCCCTAACCCCTGCTAGACATTGAGCGCCTCAGAAGTAGAAATTATGTCTTAATTTTCTCTGGCTGTTCCTGGCACAGTCCTGATCCACAGCAATTCTTACTGCTGAAATAGAAAAATAATTATAAATGCAGATTCATGGTTGAATCTCTATCCGTTACAGATGTATACTTTTTGCTTCATCAAAGACCTTTCTCAGGAAGTATGGGCTCCCAACGACTATGAAATACCCTCTTCCGACCAACACCAGCTAAGTGTTGCTGACATGACCTGTTGGCTGAGAGTTCTGAGATAAGCACAGGCCCTGTTTCCTAATGCAAATGAGAGATTTTCTACCTGTGCAGATACTTGACTGTAATACTGGACACTGGTTTATTTAACTAGGCAGAAGAGGGCAGTGGGATTTATCAGAAAATGATTTCTGGTAGGAACAACTTAGCCAACGAGTTCCTTTGGAAGCAGGCCAGACCGAATTGCCACACTCCTTATGAAACAGATCAGCCCCAGCGAGAGAAAAAAAGGACTAATTTCTTCAGAGAAGCTTGTTCCAGAAGAGGGCATATTTTCAGTGAGATTTTGGCGCTGTCTAAAACAGACGGTCCCATGTGTTTGGTGCTGCTTCTAATACTAAAACTTGTGGCAATTGATTAAGGGTCAAAAGTGGCTTTGGGGCAATATTCAAACTGATTGTTCCAAACTGAGCTTCAAGTAATATTAATAGTAGAATGCTGTGGCTGGGAAATAGAATCTGGGCTAGGTGGGGGCAGGGAGAGTATGTGCAATGAAATTCCTGTGAGTGCTCTCCAAGGGGGCGCGGCTTGAGTCTTCCCTGACCATTTGAGAGTGGAAAGGGCAGAGTGTGTCTGACTGCCATGGCTCTGCTGGAAGTGGTTTCCGAAGCTTGGCAGGGCAGGGGTTTCTGATCTTTTCAAGTGGAAGGACCATTTCTGATTGTACAACGTTTTGCAGAGCCCCCTCCCCCTGTGATAATAGTCAAAATCAGGAAACAAGTAGGAATTCAGTAATGCTTACATGCATTTGTATTTATTCTTTGCAAAGTTAAGAAGTGTTAACAGAAACATGGAAGAGCTCAAAAGTAGCTTTATATCTTTTCAGGACCTATGCTTTGATTCATTCATTCACTCATTTATTTATTAAATATTTATTGGCCCGCAGCAGCTCTGGCGCTGGGCAAGGCATCGGATGGTGAGTCTCTGTCTCCAGACATTGTGAAAAGCACTCTGGAGCAAAAAGCATGGACCTTTGCTGTCTGTGTCACATAAGTGACTGACCCTTGTGAATCCAGATGTGTAAATAAGATTGAGCCATCAACTTCACGAAGACACTTCTCAAACCTGGTGGTGGGTGGTAACTGATACTCTGTTAGCTCTGGATGTGGCCTAAGCCACCTGGCTTAATTTATCTGTGGTATAAGATCCCTGCCATGTCCTGTAATAGTTCTATAGCTGCCCTCAATCTCACTTGTTTTTCTGGGTTTTCAACTAACTCATCACTGTCACCCTTAGAATAAAAGGGGGCAAGATGATGACTCCTGTATTTCTGCCTCCCAGGCTTTCCCTTTCCCTCATTTTTGAGCAGAACCCCCTTATCATCCACCATCGTCAGGCACATTGAATTCACGAGGACAAGATGGACGCTTTAGAATATACCAGTAAAGGGCGCACTCTAGTAGGTAGACTCATGCTTCAAATACAAGTGTCAGGGCCTCATACTATGTGCTGTCGTAGATGCTGGGGCTATAGATAAGTAAAGTAGACACAAATCCATGCTCTGCTACAGTTCACAGGCTAGAGGCTGGTGAGACTTGTGCCTCTAATGCTAATGAGAAGCACCTCGGACTCCCGGGCACAGGATGATGAGGGCAGGCAGGAAGCCTTGCAGGAGCAGCCAGTGACTGAGCAGGGCCTGAAAGGATGGGTGGAATTCTGACCCGTGGATTGGAATGAAGAAGCCAAACCTACCCAGAGGGAGAAGCTTGCAGGGGGCATGGAGTTGGGGAAGTGTGAAAGGAGAGGGGAAATGCCCTAAGAGAGGTAGATTTGGGGACCAAGCTGTTACTATGGTAATGGGTATCACCTACCAAGCATTTACAGTATGCCAGGCTCTGTGCGATATTCTTTACCTGTAATATCTCTTTTGATCTTTGCTCCAACCAGCTTCAAATGTAAGGTAAAGTGAGGCTCAGAGAGGCTAAGGAAGTGTTAGAGCCAGAATTGCAAGCTAGGTCATCTGAGTCTGCACCTAAGCTCAGGGCAGTTGCACCATGGTGATGCTCAGGGTAATGAATGGCTGCAGAGCCCAGGCTGAGTTGTGTGGCCTGGCATCTGTAGGCGAAGATCAGAGGTGACAGGAAGGGTAACCGGATGGAATTGCTTGACCTAGGACAAGTGTTTATGCTGCGTGCCTGCATGGCTCAGTACCAGATAATAGGCTTGCCATTGTCATCTTCTAGGTCTGGAACAGGTGTTTGGAGAGAGGAGTCATCATGAGCCCAGGTAGGCCAAGTTCAAAGTCAGTGATGGATTGGAGCA